ACTATGGAATGGAATTCTCGATAAAATACTGCTGTAGTTAAAACAGGAGATATTATAGCCAGATAAACTAGATCTGAAAGTGTAAAGGAAACAAAGGAGGGATTCGGTTGTGTAAAACTTCCAAAATAAAACCAGACTACGTTACATCGATAGAGATAAGTCTGAAACCCCGATCAAGTGCTGTTCCCTCATGTACTCGTAGCCATTATGTGTATGTACCGTAACCAATGTTGGTCCTTCATACACTGAATTTGAGGAACAGTTTGTTCTGATTTATGTCAGATTCCCAGAAAGAATGTTGTTAATTAAGAAGAAGGAGACAGACAGTGTTTATAGAAGAGTCTATGTCAAAATCCCATAACCCTTGGCCAATTGGTGGGTGCCTAACCCGGGCCTCGAGGTGCGAATAGTACAGCTCTTGGTACTATAGGAGGCCGGTAGATATTTGCACTTCATGTCCTTGAGAGAGCTGTATTGAACAGAAATATACAAAGATAATGATCACACCCATTGGGTACATGTATGTTTTGCTTTACCTTAAGCTGTCAACAGTTTACATTGGCAAATCAATATTTCTGAAAAACCTGCCAACTTCATTGTATAGAAAAAGATATTGATATAAGATTACAAAAGACAATGTTTACCTGGTATCAGTTTTTTGAGGCCCCTAAGCCATTTTTGAATGCATGGGGAATGCATTGAATGTGTTACGAACTGTTTATCACTAAGACATCTGCTGTAATGCTAAACTTCCAAGGGAAACATCAGACACGTACATGCAATAACTGATGTCATTTGTAAATTTCATCAAACTTATAAATATATAATTATAGATTTTAATATTTGATGTAATTGAATTACAGTGCTGATGGCTTTAAATTACCATGTCAATTTCATCTTGACTACATTTTTTTATATAAACGCAATGATTATTTTACTATTTTGGTAGAGGTCTGGGTGCTTTAGAAATGCAAAAAAGTAGCAACTGTATCTTAATTTGGTATTTTTTACTGTATCATAATATCAACAGACTATTTTCTGTTTAAAAGAATACTTTGTTTATAGAAGTTTCTTCACATTTGAAAGTTTTATGCACCATAACTGGTATTTTTCAATAATTTTGTATAAGGTGAATAAGAGATTTGAGCAAAAATTGGGAAAAAGCATACAATTTCTATGGAGAATCGAGACAAATTTAGCCAAAACTTGTACCCCAAAACAGTTTAAACAACAGTTATGCTCATAATGATTTGCATATATCCCCTTGTATTGTAAGATAAGGTCATAGAAATGTACAATGCTGCAGGGGTTTATATAGCTGTGTGTTGGGTACTTGATAAATATGTCTGTCCTAGGGACTCAGGGTTGGTCATGTTAGCCTTTAGAATATATATCAGATATAGGAATGACAAGTCTATCACTGGAGATACAGATCAGCCCATGTTACATACAACCTGACACAAAGGCTTTACAGACAGACACTCAACAGTCAACTAGCTAGGGTACATACATGTAAAACATGGGGTGTTCAACACCCAAACAGTGTGTAAGTTGGAAATCAATATATGGTTGTGTACTTCATGTAATAAATACAAAATTACATGAAATTAATATTTCCCTTAGGTTTAAAATATTTCATGTTTATTTCCAACTAAAAGTAAAGCAAATTCTCCAACACAGAATACATCACAGTGGAGTATGTGTGTTCTGATCTCTCCAAATGCATAGTAATGACACAGCAGGGTGTATTATCAGATGTTTGAGGGGTTTAAATCAACATTCAATAAAAAGGTTGTCACCAAGTGTTTGTGTATAGAAAGGGTAGCAGGCTCTTTAAAAATGTATCCCATCTAACTTTCTAACTGTAAAAATCACATTTCTGGTGGGTGTACCAAAAAGCTTATGAAAGAAAGCCGGAAAAGTTTTCTCTCATTCCTCTTTTTTACAGACATGATTTTTGTTTACTCCCAAAACATCATGTACCACGGTTTCCAGACTAACCAACAAACATAATTTTTTGAAAAATGCAACTTTTTATGGCGCAAGGATGTTGTTATCCTATACAATTTTACTGCACCTTTTTAGCTAGCAAACTTACACACATGTATATATATATAGTTCTGCCTTAGTCATTCAGGTAACATGGATTTTTGTTGTTGATATATTAACATGCTACATGTTAGGTAGGTCTCACACCTTTTATGCACAACACCTTACATTGTACATATACATTTATACACCTTTCCTGACATGATGCATGCTTATATATATATACGTTACACATGTTTGCCAATCCAGTTATGTGTAAAATAAAGCTATAGCCCAATTAATGCCTAGTCATTTGAAATTCTATACATGTATACAATTATACATGTAGAAAATTAATATATACTTAACTTTTAGACCATTGACCAGAACTCAATCGAATGCATTTAAACATGTCTTCAGATTATAAAAATGACTGTATCCGACATTATACCTTAACACAGATATATATACATATATGCTTATTTCTTTAAATACTTTTCAATAAATTGAATTTGATAATTTGACTTCATGTTTGAACAATTCAATAAAGTTTCATATAACAGTCCTGAAATTAAGAAATCTAAATATTTACTTGTTAAATTATGCTACTAATGATGTATTTTTTTTACTTGTCGCCACAAATGTATGAAGAGTCAGTACAAGAATCTAACACGTCAACTCTGAGTTTGGTGGCTTGTGTAATTTGAATAGTGAATGACATCTAGTACAATGACAGAGTCCTTGGAATTACACAATCATCAATACATATTAATGTTCTAGTTCAGTGAGTTCACCAAGTGCTACATTGACAAGATATAGGTCTGCATGATTAAAACACAAAGGCTTAGATTAATGGACTAAATATCTAGTTTGGAAGACATTAAAAAACACAGTTTGTATCACTTGATTTGATGACCATTAGATGACCCCCACAACAAATGATAAGATACAAAAACTTATGATAATTTTGCTACAAATCATTCCACATGGTAGAATGAAATAAATGGCTTTATTAGATTGCTACAGTATTTTAATTTTGATTAGTTGTAATCAATCTAATCGTTGTTGTAATTTTGTATTGCCAGTTGAAATTTAGCATTATAAGCAACCATTTTAATACAACAAATTCCAATCAGATATGCCAGTTTAAGGAAGGGTAAAACTTCAAAACAGAAATGCCAGTTTAATAATGGATAACATTCCTGCCTTAGAATAATGCTGTACCTGTCAGACTAAATACCTAAAAGGGTGTTGGCTTGCTCTATAGTATATACCCAAATATAATGTACAAAATATCATTTTCATAGTGGTAGCTAGCAATCATATTCACTTATTGACACAGGGCACAATGCAATATACTGAATTTCAAATGCACGTTTGCGAAATTCCTGAAAACAGACAACATATATACATCAATTTGTCCTACACCTTAGAAACTGTCTCAGTTCTTGGGAAATCTACATAAATCAATGAAATACACTAATGGTTAAAGTTGTTATTGACAATGATCGGGATGCTGCAGTGTAGCCACTATTCAAGAATAAATCAATACACACAGCACTGCAGCATTCTGCAATGAAAATCTATTCCGCTTTGAAAGAAGTTGCATCTGTACACTACAATAGGAGATTGCATGGTCAAAGTTCTGGAGTGTTAACTGTTTTGGTCCAATGTCAATATTACAAAACAACATTGTCATTAGTTAAAACCACAGAAAACATGAACAAGTCTATTTATGTATTTATGGAAAAAATAGTTCTTTGATGTAAAATTTATTGTTAAGATTGACATTTAGGTTTAGGTTATGGAGTAGCTTAGTATTAGGGAAGAGCAATACACATTTGCATTTTGAGAACATATATAGCTGTTCTTTACAAAAAATACTATAATTACCAAAATAAGTGAAGGTAAACATGCTTGATTAAAATTCAGTATTTTAAGACAAAGTCAAATTTGATTCTGATGGTTACACCCGATGTTACAGAAACTAATTGACAAATAGCAAATTCATTGTTTTATAATAAAGCTGAGGCCTTGGATAACTTTTCCCCTTCTAATCATAACTGGTACTGTCTTGCAAAAGGATGGATCACGGTGATTAATTCTTCCAATTGATCCAGATACATATAAACACAGAGATTGTAGTATATCATGATATACGTCTGTGATTGATCCAATTAGAATAATAGATAACACTGTTTGTGTCATTATTTCTGTCTTTAACATTCACCTTTGGTTACTGTGGCTGTTCTCATGTACTATTCCTGTCAGTAATCTTAATGACATGTCCCTAGAAATCAATATGCGGCCTGATCTTTTATGACACGAATGTACTGATTTTCCTTTTAAGTCCTGTTTTTTATCATTAGTTTTACTACATATTATTACATATATATATGGATGCATGGTCTATTAAATTTTTACGCACCACTTATTAATTCTCGGCAAAAACAAAACTGACTCAGGAAGTACTTATTTGAGTATATATCGTGCCTTGACGCTGATGACAGTAGCTGTGTATTACAGCGTGTATTGTGATTTTACCTTCCGATATCCTCTCCGACTTCATAGAAGTTTTCAAACGGTTCTTGTTTAAATTCCATATCAAGATATTCTTAAAAACACAACTACTTCCGTTGACATGGTCGTAAAAGTCCGTGTTACAGCAGACGCAGCATGAACAATATCTGACGCTACTTAGTGCTGCTGCTGAAACTAATCTCTCTCACACACATCCCAGCGTTGTCAAAATTATCATCTGCTATGAAATACCGGAAGTGTGCTGCGAACCTGCGATGTAAGACAGCGCGCGTGTTTTCATAGAGGAAATCTAGGCCTATTTTTGAAACCATGAATTTTCACTACGTCTATGCAATAATTTCTTCTTCTGATTCATCTGTGACGAAAGAAACTTTAGTAATAATATTTTTATTTTATTTCAATCGACCTTCACCTTTCACTCCGTACTTTGATCATGGCCGAAGCTTTGTCGCCTTTCGTTTACTGGGGGCAGAAAACAGATCAAGTCTTCCTCAAAGTTGATCTCAGAGACGTGGAAGTAAGTTCCATATTACATCCGTAATATTTACGTGTTTTGGTGTAGTATTTAGATAATTACACAGAGGGAACTGGGAATTATCTCTGTTAACAACCCCCCCCCCCCCCCTCGATCAGTTGGTGTACAAAATTACCGGTTAAAGGGTTGTTCGAATCGTGTATAAAATACTTTAAAAGATAGAAACAGGTTATTTGATATTGTTGTCTGGTGAGAATTGGAAAGACATTTTAGCATATGTTTTTAAGAAGAGAATACGAACAGAGGTTAATTAATTGGAAGAAAAACCAGACCAATCCATGCATCATTTAATAATTGATGAATATTGCATCCAAAAAACTCACAATACATTGAATTACATATTGTGATACGGTACTGAGCCAGGATAAACAGATATCATGATACATGTTGCGAAGTCATATCACAACAATACAAATTCATTAAGGTATATAATAAGTATATTATATATTATAGAATTTTTAAGCCGCTCTTGGCGAGAGCCGAGCGGCTTATTAATTCTGTCCAGAGAACGAAATGACAGACCCACTTCCGTTCGGGGTGCGTGCGCATAATTCAGTATAGCAGGCTTCCGCTATATAGTTTCGTTATCGTAAATAGAAAGTAGAATCTCTGACACTCACCTGTGGGTTACATAAAGTCTTCTGATACTCTTCTCCAAATAATAATCCATACTTTGAATAATTGCTGGAAACAAAATGTTTATCTCCGGTGCATTCTACGAGTGTTGTGGTGGTGAAATTCGTGGGCTAGGTTTGAGCGTTTTAGCAACTCGGATTGCGGTCTGGGGAGTGTTACGCGTGTGAAACACATATGATTCGAGAAAGCACATGTGAAGACTGTCAAGCATTGACGCTGTCTGTAGAAGGAAGAAGTATATATATAAACTTATAAACCGTATGAGTGATGAAGTATAAACTCTATTTTGATGTTTGAAACGGTAACGTATATATGCCATATATCATGCTTAGGTTGATAACGGTAGACAAATAGCTCTGAGACGAGACGATATGTGAACTGTATATGCTTATCAAACATTTTTGTAACACAGCATGCTATTTCTGGTGTATTTATTTATGAAAGTGTAACAATTTAAGAACAACTGCCGCTGCTGTTTGACAAGAATTTGCGCCGTGTCAAAATAGTATCCAATTGGGTGTAAGGGAAATAACTCTTACGTTGGTAAAGTCGCATTGGGAAATATAATTCAAATATATTCCAAGAACATTTGTGAGATTTTGTATATTCAATGACGGTAAATATAGTCGCTACAAATATTAATAATTTTCACTAATATGAATAAAAAATAAATAAAAATAAAAGGAGTGCAATGTCTCTTTTCTCCATGCATGTTTTCCCACTACTGTTAATTATCCTTCATTTCACAAGCAAAAAATGCACCTATTCTTTATTATCCATTCACCGATTGCCATTCTGCACGTAAACGCTCATGTCACATCATTGGAAGATGCTAATTAATGAAAATTAAAACAATGCGTCACACTTAAAGAGGGTGAAAAAAGAGGAGAGGGAGAAATGTTTTTAAGGCATCATTTAAGAGGTGATTGATTTTGAAAATCCTAAACGCAACATCATCAGATGACCTGATTTTTAATTAGCAGAACACAGAACACATATCTGAGTTATTATAGTAAATTTTTTGCTCAACGTGTCACTGAGGCAATTAAATTTAAAGTGGTGATTGGCTGTAATGTCACACTGACATAATTCTAGTTTAAATTTTACGATGAAATAATATGGCAGCATAAAGCTGTAAAATAAAAACCTCTTTATGAAATTGAAAACTTACTAATAATAATATAATGAACAACAAGAAATATGCAATATGTAACTGTTATGCAAAAAAGAAATTTCCGAGGAGCTAGTGCCAGTAAATGTGTGCTTGACATGCATGTACACTGGTGATGAAGAAGATATAGAGGATATTTAATGGTTTCTTCAGTAATAACAAATATATTTCATGAGTGTGGCTAATACTTTGATATCAAAATATTTGCCACACGAGTGAAATACAATTGTTATAACTGAAGACACCATTACATTTTTTTTTTTTACATTTTTAAACCATTAAACATGAAAAATAGCGCCATATTCAAATGACGACACGTTTGACAACAAGGTTGCGCTCCATTTTGAATGGGATACTCAACGCAATTCCCACGTTTTCTGCTATTATCGCGTATGATATGATTGCTTAAATAAAAATGTTATTAATTGTATATATTTATGTAAATACTTAAGTGTACGTACCAAACATTTACCAGAACTACCAGTTATTCTACTGTCGCTTCATTTTAATCTGAACAAAAAATCGTTACCTTGGAATACAGCGAATAGAAGATACCGTTATGATTGGCCAAAAAGCGATAGTTTCACACTGAAAATATCACTTTTGATATTTGTCACTGTGTGAAAGATATCAGTTTTATCAAGTTGATAAAATTCAATATTTCATTGGCAAAAATGTAATAAACACTGATATTTTTTTTGTTACTTTGTCACTAATTTTCTTAAATATGAGGCATTACTTGCCGACCCCATTTTTGAGTTCACCTTTGAAGACATTCAGAATCGTTTTCTGCGACAAAGATACAGAGTTTCCCCATTTTTAAAAACTTAGTAGTCAATTTAGTAGCTACTTTGGCTACCGATAGCGTGATGAGCCCTACATTCTTCAAATGCAGATATTAACAAGATGGTTGAGTTCTGTACAAATGAATTTGAATGATGAAAAGTTTTTCTGTTGAGTCATATAAGCACACTGTAGTTGTCTCCCCTCTTTCTCTATCTGTAAAATGTGCTTGTTGTTCAAACATTTTTATGAATTTATTTGGAAAATCTTTAGCCTTAGGTTCCTAAAACATCCATAATACCTTTTTTTTTTTAAATTCCATTTTTTTTTATAAAAATTAATTGAATAGGTAAATAATTTGGTGTCTGAAAGTGCACATAGCTTTTATTTAATATTAATTGAATAGTATGGTCTAAATTAACATTGAATTTCTTACATGTAAACTGCCTTAAATTATGAATTTGTGCTTTTAATCTCAGTTAATCATTCCAGAATGAAGAAGTAAAGCTGACAGAGGATGGTTTGACATTTAATGCCGAGGGGTTCGGTGTGAGCGGCCAGAATTACTATGGTATTGACATTGAGTTCTATCATCCTGTCGACCCAGAGGTACCTATCCTAGCAACAATTTTCTTCCTTAACACTATGTAGTTCAGGTTGTGTTGCAAATTTTTAAGAAATATTACACTGTATTCAAATACACCTATTTATGTTCATGTATAAAAGTACATTTGATGTAGTTTTTCATATTTTAAATGTACATAATGCTAGCTTAACAATATTTTATTTTGTTGTAAATGTCAATATGTTTATAAAGTAAAATGTATCAGTTGAGTTTATGCTTTTTCTTTAATTAAACTGCAGTAGTATACATTCAAAATGTAAATTAATTATATAAATTAGTCACAAAAGGATAATTTCAAGTACATTCTGTACAAAATCAAATTTTAGTACATTTAATGTCATTGAGAAAACAACCTTTCTGAATTGATATGTATTTTTTTTCCCATTTTGGTGGATACCATTACAATCTGACAAAAAATATTTGTAATATACACTAATCATGCATAAAAAATATTTATTATAATAAATACAAGTTATATTTTAATAAATTCTAAGTATATGTCATGTATAACTTATTAATGATTAAAAAATATCATTTGATTGTTTAGTTTGTCATTATTTATAAAACAGATAATTTTAGTATTTTTCCAAATTAACTCTAAAATATGCTCCATGACTTGTACTTAAAGGCTTTTCTTTATTTTATAATTTAGCTGACAACTTGTTTGATCTGACACCATAGCAGAACCACTATTCATTTATATGTTTTTGTACATTTGTTTTGATACAGGAAAGCAAATATCGAGTGATGGGAAGATGCATTGAGTTTCAAATTAAGAAGAGTGGTGATGGGGAGATATGGCCAAGACTTACGTATGATAAAGTCAAGTTGCCCTGGCTGAAGATTGACTTTGACAAGGTGGCATATGACGATACAGAGTCGGAGAAGGAAGAAGAACAGGTTAAAGATATTTCTATCCTTAATCTCAGCTATTCCGTCTTTTCGTATTGCAGAGTTATCTTCTCTTGTGAGCAGGTATTGATTTTTACATCATTGGTATGTGAGAGTAATGTCATCAATTTTTGAGAAAACAACGTAATTTTCTCATGCAAACCAATGACGTAACAATCAATACCTGCTCACAAGAGAAGATAACTCTGCAATACGCAAATACGGAATATGACCTCAAGAGTTATTCTTTTAATGGACTTTTGAAATACACAGTACATAAAGTTGATGCTGCTGCAGTGCTTTTCCAGACAGTAACTTTCAAACTGCTGAACAATATTTGATGATTTGTAGAGAGGTTGTGTATCACAAGTGTCTATGTGTGACCTTTTAATGACTTGTACAGTACGTACCCTGTCGCCTTCAGTAATAGTAAACAAATAACAAAAGTGGCCATAGGCTTGTCGCGTATCCAAACCAATGTTTGATTTTGTATTGCCAACTCATACAAATTTTACACCTTCGTGTACATACTGGTCACTTGTCCGATGAAGGTGACAGGTCACATATCATGCTAGTCATCGAAACATCACACATAAACACTTACTGGTTGTGATATAACCTTTCTAACTCCAATTTACCAAACGAAAAAAAATGTTTAGAAATATTTTATGATTATCATAGGTATGTATTAAGACAAATTAATAAGTTGCATGCATGTATGTCATTATTTAGATTGTTGTAAGGGTGTCAAAAATATTTTGTCTGGAGCATATTTTTTTTGCTATTTTACATACTTTCACTAAACTTCTTACATACATGTATATGTATCTTGTCATTTTATTTGTAGAACCCTGAACAGGCCAGATATTTAAAGGACCTGGAGAATCAACTGTTAGCTAACTGTGATATTGGTAATCATATTTCTGTCTCGCATGTACTTACAGTGACAGGTCATTTCTAATGGCCACTCTGTTACCATCATTGTTGTTCTCAATCATAAACTAGGACTAAACAATGTACATTACATTTTCAAATGTTTCTTTGCCATAAATTTTAACTTTTTACCCCTCTTTCCCCACCCCCACACACATACCCCTAGGATACAGGCAATCTGATTAAAATCATGTTACATGGCTTCGTTAATTTCGTACTACGCCTGAACATCTGAGTGTGCCGTGGTCAGGGTCACGTTCAGGTGACCTTTATATTCATAAATACTCATTAAATTTTGACCAATCAGAGACCCTCTTTCAAAAGGGCGCTCGGAGTTGTAACAAATATGGCGGACATTGATGAGAAAGTTCTGAAGGTATTTGAGATTGATCGTCTGAAACCTGAACAGAAGAAGATATTTGAAGCTTTATTAGAGAAGAAAGACTGTATGGCGGTGTTGCCTACGCAATTATTACCCAATGGGTACGGTTTCCTTGGCGTCGTAGAAACGTCAGTTCCCGCCGCCATATTTGTTTTGGAAAACTAATCTGTTCGATACCCCTCGCTATTTATCTATCGACCATGTTATTCCGATTCGCTGGCAAACTTTTGCCAGCGCGCCTCTGATTGGGTCATCTAAAGGTCACTTGAACGTGACCCTGACCGCGGCACATTCAGATGTTCAGGCGGAGCCATGTAACAGATGATTTTAATCAGATTGAAGATACAGGTATATGGTTATTTTGGTTTTAACAACATTTTTGTTATAATGTTCACCTCAAGTTTCTGACTGAACTTATTATTTTATGCAGACTTGTAGTTTGTTTGCTCATTTCAGTTAACCTTACCTAAACAATATGGAGCTTCTGTGTGTGCTTCAGACCATTTTGTTGCTGTTTAGGCCAAACAAAAAATATTAGGTGTTTCCGGTAACTCTACCTACCCTTATTTCTTGTGCCTACCCTGAACTTTTGAAGGCAATTTGCATAGAAGCACTGTTAAAGTCAAGATCACTCTTATATAAACCATATAAAATTATTTGTTACAATAAAATTTATTATTTAGGCCAAACAAAATTAATTACTTGGTTCTCAGGCCATTTTTTTCCAAAAGAGATGAGGCAGTGAGGTATATTTTTTTTCCGCTTTACATGGCAAAAATGAGACGAGGGCGATTTGTTTTATTGTGTAATTTGTAAAACGTTCATTGTGAGCATTACCTTGTCAAATGTGTTTGTTTTTGTTGCCCAACACACGCAGATACTTTTGCAGAACGGACCACATTCCCAGAATTGATGTTACCGGTTTTTATAGTTGTTAGGTCACCTGAGACAAAGTCTCAAGTGACCTATTGCGATCGCCTTTTGTCCGTCATCGTCCGTCGTGCGTCCGTAAACAATTTACATTTTCGACTTCTTCTCCAAAACCCCTGAACCAATTTCAATGAAATTTTGCAGGGACCTTCCATGGACAAAGGTCAACAAAAA